TGAGCCTGCGCAGTCGAAATGCACTTCGAAAGATCTCGAGGGGCATCAACGCACTGTAAGTATAGCAACGAATAAGCCGGACAGGCCGTTGGAACACCTTGAACAAACACAGGCCTTCATTCTTACCATAAGAACCCTTATAAGACCACGCGCGCCTCTAAGCTGACAGCCGTCAAGAGAGACCTTGGTGCTATTGTGTTTGAGTCTGAGGAGGATGCCTTCGTGTGTTTGGGGACGTAGGTGGCGATATGTGTTCGTATGTGCAAAATATCCACAAACGAAAACAGATGTATATAAATATATATGTATTTACAAATATGCAGACCTCTATTGATATGATGTAAAAGTCGGCTTCCTGCTGCTATAAGTAGGCTTCCTGCAACAGATGCTCTCACACTCTCACAGGTCGTCTTGTGATTCCCCTGTGGACCTCGGGGCTTCAAGATGGTTATCACACGCTGGTGACATGCTCTCAGTTTCCCGGCAGGAGGAAGAGGCAAAGCGCGGATGTGCGCCTTGGAGCTGTCCTTGGCAACCGTCAGCAACCTTGCGCAGGACTTGTCGGGCCTGACCTTCGCCGGCGAAAAGGAGAATGGGAAGCTCACTTTGCACAGCAAGTTGAACGACCAGGCTCCTCAAGGCTGGAAATCAGGAGGGCCTAAGGATTCCACATGGAAACTAGGTTTTCAAAACCGGACTGCGGTGGCTTTGAAGGCTCAGTGGTGTTGGCCATGTGTCCAGCTTTCTGCGCTGATTGTTGTGCGTGTTTGTGTTTGGCGAGCCAGCATGTTTCTTTTCGTGCCCAAACGGTGGGTGGATTGAACCTGCGCAAGGCTACAACGGCATCACTTGTCCGAAGGACATCATCTTGCCCAATCTGGCGGACTACATCCACAAAGTCAAGACGGAAAACCACTCGCTTTTGTTGGGCTTTCAGCAGCGGCTCCGCAGAGCGATCAAGGCGCACTTGCATCTTGTCGCCCAAAAAGCTCGAGCCCTGTTTTCGCAGCATCAGTCGTAAGCTTTTCAACAGTTGAGGCAACCCATTGCAAAATGGCAGCCCTGCCAGAAACCATGCATGCAACGCCGAGAGATGTTTGTATCTCCGCGTGTTGATGATTACGGGGGAAAGTTAGCATCAGGTTAATTGATTGACATCCACCCACGATAAAGCAGGACTGAGACCTCAAGGGTTGCCGTTTTCCACGAGCCCCAGCTCACCAACTAGATCGGGGCATTGGCCCTGCACGCCAAGGTCAGTACACCCTGAGGACACCTGTGCAAACGCGACCCGTCTGCTCGAGACGCCTGTCGCTGACTGGCTTTGGTGCTTCGCAGCCTTGCAGGTCCAGACACCAGCACCGCCGGCCCAAGCAGATCGCAGCCACTATGACGGAGGCGCCAGCTGTGGACTTCACTTGTGCCTTACGTACAGCGGCAGACGTGGCGTGCTCTTGCGGTGGGACTCTGGCGAGGTTGAGTACCAGCAGCGCGCAGGCAGCCTGTATGTTCCTCTGCTTGTTATAGGCAAGCACTTCTTCGTCCTGGTTGGGTTACGCCTTCCAACTTGCCTCCCCGCAGATAGCTCGTTGCACATGTAATATGGGTTTCCATGCAACCCCCCAAGTCCGAGGCTAATGAAAATTAGTCGCAGGACGGGCGTCGATCTGCTTCGTAAATGGACGCATTTTGTGAATCCAAGGTGTGCGACCTTACGGCCGTGAACCACAACACCGTGTATACTAACTCTGTTGGCAATTCCGAGTGCCTGCAGCTGGCAGGATTTGGTTCCTTGGAACAACCTGATGATTTCCCCAAGTTTCTTTTCATGCGCAGTTTGCCTCTGCGTGTTGTGTCGGGCTGGCCCACTCCACAAATTGAATCGTGTGGCCTGCCGAGGACCGGCGATGGTCACCGTGCAGATCCGAAGCGGGATCTTTCGCAGCGGCTACGCAACCACCATGGCGAGGGGGCCTAACCCACCTTGGCTGGTGGCTCTCTTCCGGACTTGCTGCAGTCCGCTCCTCGCGAGCCTCCAGTTCCCGAACCTGGAGGATGACAGTCCGAGCAAGAAAGCGGCGAGCTTGAGCTACGATGGAGGAAAAATTTGCGCGCCATCGAGCCTGCTTCCTCCAAATCATCCCAGTTGGTTTCTAGATGAGCAACTTTCGACAGGGTTCTCTTCATCAGTATGTAGAGATGCGCAATATGTTTAGAGTTTTTGCAGAAACCATGGAAAACGACACCAGAACACAAAAACGGTACCAGTTTCAGTGGAGTGGTCTTCCTTGGAGCCCGGACCACAACATAAAAAGAACGATACCTTCACACCTAGGTTTTGCTTGTCGCTCAGATCCGTCCTCCTTGGCACTTTCGTTTTTTTGAATTCTCTGCCATTGATTATAAATTCGCCCTGGCTGATGCGCGCGTGTCGCCAGGACCACCAGCAACTGAGCCGGCACGTCTCACAGCGATTGAGCCGCGACGTTTGCTGGCCTGTTCGTTTGAGAGAGGTAAACAACCGATAGTATTAATCCTACGAGATGCGCATGCCTAATGGGCAGAAGGCCGCTTTGAAAGGGGAAAGTCGTGAGCCTGATGAATCTACAAGAAACCTCGTCTGAGTTAGGGGGCTGCTTTCAAGTCACAATGGTCTCTCTGAGGGCCTTTCTTTTCCAAACTGACGGGGGCATTATCGTGACCATTGGCAAGCCTTCCAAGACTTCCAGCAGCCACCTAACACTGCGCCGTGAAGCGGCAGCCCGAGAAGACAAGAAGGGATGTCTCCGGTGTGGGCGCAGCCTGCGGCTCCGCGGTTTTAGGTGAGTCAGGGGGCTCCCCATAATAATTAAATAACTAATCAACCCTTTCAATAGGGAGCCAAGGAGCTATTGCAAGTCTCAAAACCACAAGCCAGAGTACCAAAACAACATGAATTCCACGTGAAGTCAACACTAGTCAAAACCTACATGAAACCAGCATGAAAACGACATGAAAACGCAATGAAATCAACACTACTGATTTCAAAAAAATGACTTTAAAAATAAATAGTTATTCTCTAAGCAGTTTGACTTGAATTGGCAGTTTCATTTTTTCAAAACATCTCATAGAGCAAAAATGATACAGAATCTCCTCATACCAAAAAAACACAAAAACATTCAAACCACCAACAAAAATATTCACCAGAATTTTACTGCAAAAAAAAGTGATTTTGGGATAAAACACTGGATAAAACATACGTGCCGGTTTCATGTCCGTTTCCACTAGCGCCGGTTTCATGTTAAATTCATGTTAAAATCATGCCGGTTTCGCGCCGGTTTCAGCCCATAGTACCTCAATTTGAATCCAGCATGAAATCAGCACTAGTCATTTTTATTTCAACTCTAGCATTTATGAATCCAGCATAAAAACAGCATGAAAGTCTACTTCAATTTGGAGCTTTTCTGAATCCAGCATGAAAACAGCATGAAGTCAGCACCAGTCATTTTGTGCTGGTAACTGGCGTAACCGGCGTTAATCATGGCTAGTGCTGATTCTGTGCTGGTCTCATGCTGTCTTCATGCTGGTTTCATGCTGGATTCAGACATGCTCCAAATTGAGGTAAAAATGACTATAGTGCTGATTTCATGCTGGATTCATAAATTCTCCAAATTGAAACATAAAAATGACTAGTGCTGATTTCATGCGGGTTTCATGCTGGATTCATACATGCTTCAAATTGAAGTAGAAATGACTAGTGCTGATTTCATGCTGCGTTCATTCTTGCTGGATTCAAATTGAGGTGAAAAGGACTAGTGCTGCTTTCATGTTGTTTTCATGCTGGATTCAGACATGCTCCAAATTGATGTAAAAATGATTAGTGCTGATTTCATGCTGGTTTCTTGCTGGGTTCATACATGCCACAAGTTGAGGTAAACTAGTATTGTCTTAATGCTGTTTTCATGCTTGATGCATTCGTGTTGTTACTTGATTTGACTTGACTGTAGTTCCCTTTTTTCCAAGAGATTGTTGAACACTGGGTTCACCAATGCCTGATCCATGCTGGAATCAATCTATCCAATGATAGACGAGTGCTGATTTCGTTTCCTTGTCATACTGGATTGATGCTGATGTCACGCTGGATTCATAGAGGCTGTTCAAGTTCTGTGTCCCTGTTGGTTCCAAGCTGGGTTCTACATGTGGTTATACAATTGATTGGACTTGTTGACTCTAATGTCCTTTTTGGTTTTTTGTTTCCCTTAGAGAGGGATTGTTCAACGCTAAGTTCATTAGCGCTGGAATCATGCTGGATTTAATCTGGCAAATGATATTGATACTGTATAGCGTTGATTTCATGTCGTTTTCATGCTGGATTGATGCTGATTTCACGTTGGATTCATAAAGGCTGTTCTTTGTCCCTATTGCTTTCATGCTGGGTGCTACATTGTTTTTTGCTTGTTAACTCTAATTTGTTTTTGGCGTGTCTTCTTTGCCAAGTGTTGAGTGCTGACCTCATTAGTGCCGGAGCCACACTGGGTCCATCAAGCTGGCAATTGACATAAAATACTGTATGTTGGTGCTGATTTCATGCTGTTTTCATGTTGGGTTAATACATGCTGCTATTTGAGATCCATACGCACACCTCATGCGTAAGTCGGTCACTGTGTGCGTGTGTGGTGGTGGGGTGCTGCTGCCGCTGCTGCTGTTGCGTACCAGTGGCAACCACAGAACTGAATGAACTGAACACAGACCGAGCCTGTTCCTAACTATATTACCGAAATATTTGTGAATGCGGTGTAATCTTGGTTTTTTGAGTGCTTCATCTTTCTGAAAAGCCATGCGTTGCTTGCATACTTGTATGATGATATTGTCCAAAGAATTCCAAGTTTTGCAAAGTACCAACCCCCAACCCAAACCATCAAATTTGGGCCAAGCTGATGCACCGATGCTCACAAACAACATACTTCCTTTTGCCCAGGCAGACTTCTTCTTCGTGCCACACTACACGGCCTGTCACCTGAATGTGGAGACCTTCAGCGAGGAGCAAATTTTGATCCACTCTTTTTTGTGTTCTCCAATTTTTTGCGCAGGAGGACTCAGACGCACTCTTCCAGAGCGGCTGGGACTGCATGGTCCCTCCTGGAAAATTCTTCATGAGGTGAGCTCCAGGTCGTTGCTACAGCAATGGTTGTTGCTGCAAGCTTGGGTAATGCCCTAGCGAGGATGTGATGGGGTTAGGTTTGTTGGGGCTGGCTCTCACTTCCTCAGTGTGTGTACACATTGCCAAGTTTTAATTTCCCAAGATACCTACCCTGAAGTAAGCTATAAGCTCCTCACGTAGATGTAAGCCACCAATCAGATTGTTTGCATCGAACTGAGGTCTGGTGGGACGCTTACAGCATTTCCCACGCTCTTTGGGTCGAGACCATCTTTTCGTTTGGGGGGGGCGGCTTCGGCCACTCAGCAGCAGTTGTTTTCCATACAAGATTTGCCATTCTGTTTGTCAGAGTCTATTGGCATTTTTCAGTTTGTCCAGAGTGAAAAGCCATGAAAAATCAAACTCGGAGAAAATGCCCAACCGGCCACCCCTTGGGTGTTTGGGGGATAGAAACTTGTGAGGGGTGGATGGCCCCTTCCGCTCTTGGCGTCGCTACATCGAAGATGCGATATTCCTTATGACGGATCCTTGCTCCCAAGATTTTGCATAGAAACGATGGGAGCACTGATGTTAAGCAGCTTCTGATTTGTGGAGACGCAAATCCCACTGCACTGGAGGAACGTTTCGAACCAAGAACCAACTCGAATAATATCGTATGATTGTTTTTCCTGAGGAAACCGAGCTGTGGAATCCATACAAACAGATCACCACGCCCGGATTTTCCGCCTGGAAGGACCGCGTTTATTTTTTTCTTTGGCTCGCAAGTCAAGCGAGCCAAAGATCAATCCCTGTCAATGAAGAAAACATCGCTTAAGCCCCAAGTGAATGAAGTCTTGATGGTGACGATATGTCGGGATTGCTTTTGTACCCAGATCTGCCGAAGGCATGAGGCTCAAGGGACCAGAAGACGTAGGATTGAAAAATGCAAGAAATTCTGAGCCAAAATTTTGTCCCGGAGACCAGGTGGACACGAATGGTCCCTTCGCGGCCTTCCTAACCAAATGGTAAGAAGTTCCTGGATACAAAAATGCTTTCCCAAACGGAGAGCACCCTAAAGAACAGATACTGGCCACACAGAGCAGTAGAATCAGTCAGTCCAGTACCTTGACGATAGATATGGCACTCCATGTGCAATGTGAAGAGCCCTTTTGTGCCCATGTTGCCTCTCCAGCAAGGCTTGGGAAAGCACTTATGGATTTCATGTGATCGATTCCTGTCACTCGTTCGCATGGCCTGCCAGTTTCCCCTTAATTCCAGGTGGTGGATTCTTTTGGTGCTCACTGTGATGAACATTTTGCAAGCTTTGCTTTGGAACGTTTTCTCGCCAATCTCCAAGAGCATCAAGCTGGTCTATGGTTGGGGTGACTCCGATTTCGAGTGGGCCGTCAATGCTGCTAATATCAGCTTCATGCTGGCCTTGGTGCCAGTCAACAAGTTGTGACTTGCCCATTGGCAGTGTTTACTCTAGGGAAGTTCCAACTTGTGCTATTCGGATAGGCACGTCTCTTGCTGTACCTTGTGTTCTCAGGTACGCCAGATATGGTGCGAGATGTACTATGCTGTTGAGCACTGTTTCGTTAGCATTCTGTGGCTTGATCCGTTGCCTGCCGCTGGAGGGCCATGCCTTCATGATGATGGTGCAATTGTCAATGTGGCTAGGCATGACTAGCCGAGACACTGTTTTGTGGTTGGGCCAGTGTTTGACTGTGTTTGTTAGGTATATGCTGATGTTAGCTCCAGTTTGCCCAGCACGTTGCTTTCCGTTGCTCAACTGCAGGTTGGCCAACGGAATGACGGCTGCTTGGGCCAACATCGCAGGTCCTTTGATCTCTGATGTGTGGTTTCCTGCCCGGGAGAGGACGCTTGCAACAGCGACCTGGCTCAAGAATTGCTCATACAGGTTCATAGCTGTCATAGCTTCTTGCCCTCGTGGGTTCATGATGCAATTGCATACATGTCATGGTTCATGTCATGGCCTTTGCGTGAGACAGCTGAGAAGAGTTTCAGCCGACCGCATTTGACACATTTTCACACCCACAGGGGTCGACCGCACTTTGAGGCTGTTGCAGTCACTGGACCTCCTGTGGGTCAAGCCTTGGGCTTCGTGGTAGGGCCTTCGATGGTGACCACTGTGGATACCTTGTGGCTTGTGCGCCGAGAGGTGCAAGGCTAATTTCATGGCCAGGGTCCACTGAGCAGGGAATCCATTTCTCATTGGCAGCGCCACAAGGATGTTCACTATCACTATGTATAAATAGGGTGTGGTCCATTGCCCGTAACCATCTGTCCATCGGTCAAAGAATATCACTTTATTGAGAAAGGTCTTTACCAACCCACTGTTACTGGTAATGGAATATGCCCAAACATTGAACATGCCCAAACTGTGAACAAATGTCGTATGTAAAGAAGTATCAGCATTTGTTTTTTGTTCTTTAGTGTTTCTTTGTTTAGACGTTACTGTAGACCTTCAGACTTACTTCCCTTTTTCTTGACAAAAAAAGTATACCGGCATAGACCCCAGATAGCACTTCAAGAAAAGTTGGATAGCATGGCAAGAGCGGGAGACAAGCTTGGGAGACATCCCACTCAAAGCCGGAAAAAGGATGGAAACGGTAAACAAGACCCAAATCATCTTATAACAGCATCCGCGTCAAAGGCAGGCAAGAAAATGACAAGGCGGCGGCGGCAGCCAAGAGCGAAATCAGGAAGGGAGACAAGCTTGAGAGACAAGGCGGCAGCGGCAGCCAAAAGCGAAATCATGAAGGGAGACAAGCTTGGGAG